CAATGCTGACAAATTCTGAAATTTGGCTCACATCAAAATCTACTCCGAGTACTCACCGCCAGCGAAGGTGTTCCGTCTGGAAATGTCGAACGCCTCACTGGTTGACACATAGCTGAGTAGATCTAGATCCTTAACAAGGTTCTTTTATGTAACAAGTAGATTATTTACTATTTGTTGTTTGTGTACTCAACCAAGATTAGAACCTATTCACTGCGCATGCGCTATGTGCGCAGCGCAGCTGTTGGAAACCACCTTTCACCCCAGCTTGTTTTTAGTGAATCTTTTGAACTCAGATTTCGCGATTTTTTTCATCGCGTTATTTTTCGACTTTATAAGTTGAATTTGCATTTTTTTAATAATTTGTTACTGTAAGTCCATACCGAAAGGTATCAGAATCTGCAAAGTTGTGTTGTGCGTTGCATGTAAGCTTTAAGCATCGTTTATATGTTAACTAAATTGGTTTTGGAATATAATATACAGATTTGTCATAAAACAAGAATGTTATTTAGCACGCGGACAAGTATAATATCACGACAGATGATCAAAGGTTGTACAGTGTTCTGTATGATGTATACAGAATTCTGTATGATACATACATCCTTATAATATATAATGCGACCACGTACCTGCTGAAGTCATATTTCGTCGACCAGCTCATGCAACAAACCATTCCTCCGTCGATTAATAGTGATCACGCATCTGTTCAAGTTTCATGCTTGATGAATTTAACACATTTTATCCACTCATTTAATGGTTAATGTACAGCTAGACGTTCAACAAATGATATATACAACGACAGACAGACAACAACAAATATATAGCACAAAGTCATGAATGCATGAAGGACGATCCATCGGAATACCCACGTTCCGTGTCATGCACAACGAACATAAAATACCTTTATGGTTCTACATAATACAGAATATGCGTGAAGTAGTCATGGGTGAAGCGTGGAACAAGATTCGCCCTGAAGCGATGAGCTATGGAATCCTAGAAGGGCCATTGTCGCTATGTCGCATCGTCATGCTTTGAATAATATTGTTTTATTCAACCAAAGGGCGACAGTTCCGCATAGCGACAGTTTTCAAAGACAAAATATTTGGCGTTGTTGCATTGTCGCACTTTAGTTAATTTTACCAGTTTTGGCTTGTTTTTGTGAGGGCGACAATGTCCCTTCTAGGATTCCATAATAATCAGAACAAATCATACTGGAGACCCTAGTTCGATTCACCACCTGATTTCACATGGGTACAGTGTGTGTGTACAATCCATAACCAAATATATTTTATCATGACTACATTACACTGATACAACTTAACTGTGTTTAGAATTTTGGCCATAACAAATTACACAGACATTTCTTAAATGATGCTTCTGATCCTTAACTCTGACACGCCGATCCAGAGTCAACGTTCCGATGAGCGCTCTGGGAGCTTGTGACACATCTGTCTTAGTTCAAGGCGTTAAGCATTGCTAACATTTGCATTGGAAGGTGTTAACTATGGCCTACACTTACACTGGAAGGTGTGAGCTATGGCCTACACCTTCCACTGGAAGGTGTTAGCTATGGCCTACACTTACACTGGGAGGTGTTAGCTATGGCTTACACTTGCACCAGAAGGTGTTAGCTATGGCCTACACTTGCACCAGAAGGTGTTAGCTATGGCCTACACTTACACTGGAAGGTGTTAGCTATGGCCTACACTTACACTGGAAGGTGTTAGCTATGGCTTAAACCTACACTGGAAGGTGTTAACTATGGCCTACACTTACACTGGAAGGTGTTAGCTATGGCTTAAACCTACACTGGAAGGTGTTAGCTATGGCCTACACTTACACTGGAAGGTGTTAGCTATGGCCTACACTTACACTGGAAGGTGTTAGCTATGGCCTACACTTACACTGGAAGGTGTTAGCTATGGCTTACACTTGCACTGGAAGGTGTTAGCTATGGCCTACACTTACACTGGAAGGTGTTAGCTATGGCCTACACTTGCACCAGAAGGTGTTAGCTATGGCCTACACTTGCACCAGAAGGTGTTAGCTATGGCCTACACTTACACTGGAAGGTGTTAGCTATGGCCTACACTTGCACTGGAAGGTGTTAGCTATGGCCTACACTTGCACTGGAAGGTGTTAGCTATGGCCTACACTTGCACTGGAAGGTGTTAGCTATGGCCTACACTTACACTGGAAGGTGTTAGCTATGGCCTACACTTGCACCAGAAGGTGTTAGCTATGGCCTACACTTGCACCAGAAGGTGTTAGCTATGGCCTACACTTGCACTGGAAGGTGTTAGCTATGGCCTACACTTGCACCAGAAGGTGTTAGCTATGGCCTACACTTGCACCAGAAGGTGTGAGCTATGGCCTACACTTACACTGGAAGGTGTTAGCTATGGCCTACACTTACACTGGAAGGTGTTAGCTATGGCCTACACTTGCACCAGAAGGTGTTAGCTATGGCCTACACTTGCACCAGAAGGTGTTAGCTATGGCCTACACTTACACTGGAAGGTGTTAGCTATGGCCTACTCTTATACTGGAAGGTGTATATACCCTACACTGGAAGGTGTAAGCTATGGCCTACACTTACACTGGAAGGTGTTAGCTATGGCTTACACTTGCACCAGAAGGTGTTAGCTATGGCCTACACTTGCACCAGAAGGTGTTAGCTATGGCCTACACTTACACTGGAAGGTGTTAGCTATGGCCTACACTTGCACCAGAAGGTGTTAGCTATGGCCTACACTTGCACCAGAAGGTGTTAGCTATGGCCTACGCTTACACTGGAAGGTGTTAGCTATGGCTTACACTTGCACTGGTAGGTGTTAGCTATGGCCTACACTTGCACCAGAAGTTGTTAGCTATGGCCTACACTTGCACCAGAAGGTGTTAGCTATGGCCTACACTTACACTGGAAGGTGTTAGCTATGGCCTACACTTACACTGGAAGGTGTTAGCTATGGTCTATACTTACACTGGAAGGTGTTAGCTATGGCCTACACTTACACTGGAAGGTGTTAGCTATGGCTTACACTTGCACCAGAAGGTGTTAGCTATGGCCTACACTTGCACCAGAAGGTGTTAGCTATGGCCTACACTTACACTGGAAGGTGTTAGCTATGGCCTACACTTGCACTGGAAGGTGTTAGCTATGGCCTACACTTGCACCAGAAGGTGTTAGCTATGGCCTACACTTGCACTAGAAGGTGTTAGCTATGGCCTACACTTACACTGGAAGGTGTTAGCTATGGCCTACACTTACACTGGAAGGTGTTAGCTATGGCTTAAACCTACACTGGAAGGTGTTAGCTATGGCCTACACTTACACTGGAAGGTGTTAGCTATGGCTTACACTTGCACTGGAAGGTGATAGGCATGGCTTACGTTTGTACTGACGTACGATAATTGTGAAATGATACTTTACCGAAATCAGACTTTCTTATCCGTCTTCAGCATGCCATCATCGTTATGATTATCGGGGACCTATGGGATCAGGTGGCCAGGCTAGACCCTACACATGTCCTACACAAGTCCTACACAAGTCCTACACATGTCAAACAGGGAACCCTTTGAAAGCCTCACCAAAGCCTTAAAGGAGAATACTAGACAATTTCAATAATTTGCTGGGTGAAAGATAAAGTCATCAGAAACATGTACCCCAAGTTTTAATTACAAAATATGGTTAGTTATGTTATAATATGTTCCTTGTCAAACATTTCAACAGAGCAAGAGTCGCACCATGTCGCTCTTTGATGTCTGTGTAGCAAGATCATGTCCGAACGACCTCAAAATGGCCATTCTCATCGCCATCTTCCTGTGGAAGTCAGGGAATGGAACTATTCTCCCTTAAATAGAAAATGCAAACATGCTCAGTCATGATATATTGGTGGTGAATCCTTGTGTGATTCTTCGTTCTGCGCATGTCTAGTTTGTCAGGTTGTGGGTTGTGATTTCGTTATGCTCTTTCCGTGTGTTTTCAGCAGCAGACTCTGATATTTATGATACTGTTACTTATTTATGGGTAGCGTTCTCATTGTATTCTGTTGCCGATTCATTGTGTATGGTAGACGTATGTCAGTTTATCGTTTGAAGTCTGTCAGTTGACACTGGTGGACCTGTGGATGGCGATACTTGGGCTGCAGTCCAAGCTAACTGCCAAGGGGTACGTATGTTGTGCCCTTAAACGCAACATATGTTGTGCCCTTAAATGCACAATGGTCTTAAGTGCACAGAAATCATGAATATTCATGAGTGGGCGGAGCTTATGTCACTACGTCACATACACGGCACAGTATCTTCCGCGGAACTAGTAGAGGGAGTTGACCTATGCTTCTTCGTCTGTTATTGCCTTATACAATGTGACAGCTACAATATGCATACGAGGTATATGTAAACATGAAGTATACGTGCCGTTATTCAATATAATGTGCTGTATTGAAGTTTTGCGACGCAACTTCCCACGGTGAAGGAGTTCAAGCGAGAAAGCCTCCTCGAGAACAACCACGGTACCTAGCGTTGCGATGGAAACATTCACATGTCAATATTGTCATTGCTCAGTCCTGACTTGAAAAATGCACTCTCATTACACGCTATTCAACTTTACACTTCTCAGCAGAAGTATAGACACTTCCGTGTTCAAGAGAGAAGTAGTGCGTACGAAACACGTATGACGTGGTCACATAAGCTCCGCCAACCCCTTTTTTCATGATTTCTGTGCACTTAAGACCATTGTGCGTTTAAGGGCACAACATACGTAATACAGGTAGATCCATACAGATTCTGTTACTTTTGGGTTGAGTCCCATCCGTGATTCGAACCACACCCTCAAAGTCAAGTACCTTATCGCCAGCACACAAAGTCAGCCACCTAACCCGCTCAGTCACCGCTGAGTTGATACTGGGAGGGCATATCTTTTTGAAGATCGTCATGCAGGTCGTTGTCTCTGCTGTGCCATTGGATCACAGACAAGACAATATCAGTGACTGTTTTATATAAATCTAAGGGAAACAAAGAGGCTGTGTTTTGATTGATACCGGTGGGGCGGGGCATATTGACCCTTTTCGTGAACACCTGCTATTTGCACTTTACGGATAAGTGAATCTTTTCTGTGGATACTTGAGGCTTGGTTCCCCTGGGATGCAGAAAGGGGCAGTGTAAGTTTGTAGAGAATGGCACTTCATAATCTGAAGGGCATGTTGGTGAGGATTATTTAAAAAGATCATTGTATATGAAATCAAAGTCTTATAATTTTTCAAATGTAAATTTTATTGGAAATATAAACATAATATTTCTCCATTCGTCAAGCATCAATTGTCGGTATCACTAAGATGACAGTCTAAATGAAACAGCAATTCCATGATGTACTACAGAGTCCATGTGTATTTATCATGCGATGTTACATAGAAACAAATAGTACACTTCAGTAAATGTATAACTCTCTCATAGCATAATGTTTGTGATGTACTGCAGGCTTGTGGCCTCTTGAGTAAATGAATAAAGTTTCTGAAAACAAATTCATGACCTCGTTGAGTTATCTAGGCGGAGAACATACCAGAGACCATTCGTCACCACTCGCCCCTTTCCGTAGGCTTGGGGGGACAACCTTTAGTCAGAAGGCCCGTTAGTCAGAATCCCGTTAGTCAGAAGATCCGGTAGTCAGAAAGCCCGTTTATCAGAAGGTCCGGTAGTCAGAAAGCCCGAATGTCAGAAGGCCCGTTAGTCAGAAATCTTTATTGAGCGTGTGAGAGAGACGAATGGAGGGAGGGAGGGAGAACAGGAGACAGTTGGAGAAAAAAGAGAATGAAAATAAACGAACATGCATGAGGCAAATAAGAGGGCAAAGACATGGAATATGTAAGCCAATAGAAAACAAATGAGTTTTGCTAGACCCCCTTTCAAATTGACTAATGCACACCAAAAACTGTGGCAGGTCAGCACCAGCGAGCCTGTTCTCGAAACGTTCGTAGAGCTACGAATTCTTAACTGCTTACGCCAAAGGATAAGAATTCATAGGAAAATGTTTACGACCTATTCTCGAAACGTTCTAATCAAGTTCGTAACCCCAACACGACTAGTCAAGTTTGAGTAACCTTTCGTAAGTTACGATAGGAACTCTTTTGTCTCAAAGGGAGATTTAGTAGGGGGTTTCCCCGTGACGTCACAAGCACGCCTTTCCTGGCTAATGGGCCTTCTGACAAACGGGCTTTCTGACTACCGGACCTTCTGACTAACGGGATTCTGACTTACGGGCCTTCTGACATTCGGACTTTGAGTAAAAGGCGGATCCCATGTGCGTTTGTTTACAAAACGGTTCTCGTGAGTGCAACTGAGAGTTTTTGACGATCTTGCGGGCTTGTTTTGGAGATTTTACTTCCGCTTTCCGACATTTTTAGGAAATATGATTATATATCGATGCGACTTTCAAAACAATATATTGATATATAACTATAGTCTGGTCAAAATGATACCGATGAATCACAATCAAACTCCAAATCGGTTTCCAGATTAAATATTCATTTCAACACAGAATGTAATGAAAACATCAGACCAACCCTGGAAAAAAAGGTTTCATAAGGTTTGTCTCCAAACTAAAAAGTTGCTTAACAAACTATTGTTATTTTGTTTTGATTTTCGTGTGAAGTTTTACGAGGGTAAAGTAAGGGCAAACTGTTGGGGGAACAGCCTCAATAACGGGAAGCACGTGCAGGTTGGGATGTCATCAATTAGGGGTTGTATCGAAACTCTTCTAGTCTGGAACGGAGGAAATTCCTGATTCACTTTCACTACTCTCAGATTGTACACCTATGATGACTGGTTGAATGGTGGCAGAATCTAAACCTCTTTTTATCCTGTACTGATTCTCTATTTCAATTTCAAATTCCTGTACACAGTTTTTCCAGATTGCTGGTGTTGTTTTACTTATGGCTTTGTGTACTTCGTTTTAACGTCCGAACATGGTATTGTTGCGACCCTCATCAGATTTAATGATACCCCAGATAAGTTCTATTGGAATGAGATCACAATGGTATAAGCGGTAAACGTAAACTTTCATGGCCATGAGCTTTGAGATATTCATCTACGCAGAGTCCAAATGCCATATATATCTGATCTGCTTTATTGGTCTAGAAGCCAGACCCCTAAAATGGTGAAAATGTGGTGCAGTTCTGGCGACCAAACGGGATGTGATTTTTCACAATCAGGAATGATTTAGCTTTGATCTAAAGCCGGTTGTCATCAGCTCCCACGCGTGACTACCGTGCAGGGGCCCTTTTAAGGTGCAACATGTCATGTCAGTTATCACAATATTTTAATCGACAACTGGATGGTTTAATTTAATAACTCTGGTTTGGTTTGACCGATTTTAATAACAATAGTAGTTTTGGAATGCTCAGACGATGATTTACATTTGTGGAAAATAATATTACATATATGCTCATCGCAAAAAGTATTTTGGTAAGGTTAAAGGTCAATTTTAATAGAAAGGGCATTTGATGAGAAAATATGAGTTGAACTTTACAAATTAAAGGTAAATTTTCCAAAATTATGTTTCTCAGATTCAGCTATAACATTTGAAGATCATATATACCGTTGGTTGGCATTGTATTCACGAAAAACCATTACAAGGAAACAAAGGTTGGTACTTTGTATTTAGATCTGCAAAATATTACACAATGTCTGTTCAACAGTAACAGCTCCATGCTTTACATAGTCAACGATACTAAATATGTCAAAGATACTGTTGGACTGTCATTAAGATCACACAACATAACAGAAAGCTCTCAAATGTATAATTCAATTATTCAAGATGTCTTTCTATATTCATCAAAGAATGATGAGTCCGTCATGTCATCATAACACAAGCAACATTGCCTTTATATCAATTTGTACTTATTGTTCATAATAGTCATAGTGTATTGCCAGTTGACATGTTAGTCAATGTCAACATTGTCAAGATCAAGGGAACATGTTTCAAGTCCACATCCATATGCCGAAATACACAACAGGTTCAACCTCTTGCAGCTACAGCTTCCTGTACATTGACGTTTACATGCACAGATATGTTGAAGAAGGTCCACGGAAACAATTTAGTCTTAACTTATTTGCAACTTTATCACAGAGGAACAGAGGAATATTTGATGAAGATCTTTTACGACAGAAACGTACTGCTTTAAATACAAAACTAAGTGCCTGCTTTTATGGACAACTCAAAGGAATTCCTAGACAATATTCATTTAAATATCTTGCTTCTACTGTAACTTTCATAAAAAGATGCATACCTCGGTGTTAGTAATATATAATGATATCCACAAATGAGTTACACATAGCATGGTCATGACACTATGAGCATCGATCTTCACAAGTGGGATACGATGGCGTGCATCAAACAAGTAAGTGAGAACGACCACCCGATCATATTAGTTCGCTCTTACAACATGGGTTGCTGAACATTAATTTTGGCCCAACATATTTGTGAACCTGTGAGAATCGTTAATGAATAAATGCATACTCAGTCAAAGTCATAGTCAAAGATATATGTTGTAGATAATTCCAAATGCTATTATTGAATGTATGTCGCCAATATCTTTCTGGTCTCTGCAAAGGTCGTACCTCAGAGACCAATTGTCAAGTTACATTTAATTACTATCAGCTATTCAATACACGCACAGAAGTTGTTATTTAAGTTGACAGACGCTTTAGAATTATATTTTGCGCGGAAAACCTTGAATCGTCTATACATATTGAAAGTATTGAGTGACCTCGTCTAGATGGATACTAAAACACCAACTGTCATTCATTTCCCGATTTCAGTATGTCGCATGACTACGTTGTCCTTCAAGCAGAGTGAATAAATTCACAATAGTTATCGCTTCATGGAATTGGCTCACGTGAATCACTATCTTCATCAGCTGATGAAGGTCGACAGTACAACGTCAGCTCTAAAATATTGACAGACTTCACCCAGATGGCCATTACGAAGTCGGCTGTAGTCAACTGCATTGTTCCAACAGATATTATGAAGCCACCAGCTGTGATCAGCAGAGTGTGTTTCAAATGAAGGACATCTTCTGCTTGCCCAGATCTATATATTTATCTTCCGAAAATTGATGTGGCTCTCCGGCAATAGTTATGGTTGCGTGAACATGTGGCTCTCCAGGCTATGCTGTCAAGACATGCTTAGTGATTCAAACGCGTTACCGTATTTAACAAAACAAGACATGTTTCCTCAAAATTTTATTCAGACCACAACATATTTTATTTCTATAATTAGCACAATATAATATACTAACATTACATATAATATTATCACATTATAATAAAAATCTTAATCTGTAAAACATAATAATAATGATAATGGTTTAGTTTGTTGCCATGTGTACATTTCTCATGAAAACTTTCTGCTGCATTGTGATGCGTGGACGTCCACTTCTTGGTCTATCTACGGTGACCCCAGTCTGTCTGTAGTGCTGAATAAGTCTTTTAACCGTGATATGGTGGCATCCGAGGGCGTTTGCAACAGCATTGTATGTCGACCCCATCTGCAACATCCCAATGGCTCTTTCCCTCTCTTCCGCTGTTACTCGTGGCACATTTCTCGTGCTTCTGTATCATATCATGCATTCTAGTATCTCTTTATACCCTATAGAATCATTCTACACGTGAAATTGATGCAAATACTGCTTGAATATTGCTACGTTTTGGCGATTGATATTGCTGTGTGTGTAAATGTTACTTTGCAAACAAAACTGTTAACAAAGATCATTTTCGGTGTTCCTAAACACTTTTGCACAATATAAAGACACGTTTTATTTGTTTTCACTATTGCAAATAAGCAGAAAATGGTTTAAAAGACTGAATTCATAGGAATGATCCTTTTACAATTTTACACACTCTACAACAGGTGTTACTTGTTTTAAAAATTGAAAAAATGGTGACTTAAAATGGTTTATCTCTGTCTTAAGCAGAATTTTATTTCAACCTTTCTTTTGGACATCTATTTTAAATCACTGTTATTGTTTTTATTTCGGCATGGTCGAAAATAGGACAATTTAATCTTCTGAAAAAAGATGCAGTTCACCTAAATATGAATGCGTTTGAGAATTTGATTCGTGATTTGCATAAAGCTGGGTTGTTAAGTTGTTGTTTTTTAAAGCTAATACCCTCTAACATATATTTTTATTAACGTAATTCATAGATGGTAGGAGGGTAACGTTTCTTTTGGCGTTTAGCGTAGGAAGTCTTTTACCGGTTACGGTAATCCATTAATTATTTAATCTATTAGAAATGTGGCTTTACCGGCTACAGCCATGTAATTGAAATGTGGCTTTCCCGGCCTGACACCGGTCGCTGGGACCTTACACATGCCAGTAGTCTCATACTCCAAACTTTCGGCCCAACCCTTCTGTAATGCAATAGTCCAAAGTGAAGCCTGTCTAGACCCCCACTGGTTCTGAATCTCCGAGCTCACCACTGGGGCTAATTAACCATATAGGGAGTTATATACTGCTATCCAAATTTCCTATTTTCAGAAATTTGTAAAATTGATAAAGTTGCAAATAAGTTAAGGCTAAATCGTTTCCGCGGACCTTCTTCAACTTCATATCTGTGCATGTAAAATCAATGTACAGTAAGGTGTTGCTCCAAGAGGTTGAACCTGTTGTGTACATGAGCATGTGGATGTGGACTTGAAACAAACATGTCAACATTGACTAACATTGACTAACATGTCAACTGGGAATACACTATGACTATTAGGAACAATAGACACGAATATTGTCTAGGAATTCCTTTGCGTTGTCCATAAAAGCAGGCACTTACTGTTTTGTATTTAAAGCAGTGCGTTTCTGTCGTAAAGATCTTCATCAAATATTCCTCTGTTCCTCTGTGATAAAGTTGCAAATTAAATTGTTTCCGTGGACCTTCTTCAACATATCTGTGCATGTAAACGTCAATGTACAGGAAGGTTAAGCTACAAGAGGTTGAACCTGTTGTGTATTTCGGCATGTGGATGTAGACTTAAAACATGTTCCCATGATCTTGACAGTGTTGACATTAGCTAACATGTCAACTGGGAATACACTATGACTATTAAGAACAATAAATACGAATTGATATGAAGGCAATGTTTCATTAGGATGTCATATTATTATCCATCAGGTTTCAGGGTTTCACGGCATGTCAGTGCAATACTGACACTTATCAAAATATATCTCCTTCTGACATCAGCTGAATTGTTGTTTCTGCCAGAATGTCAATAAACGCAAATATGTATGACAGTTCAAAGTATCTTTGATATATATAGTATTGTTGATACTTTGTAAAGCATGGAGCTGAAATTATCTTATATTTTGCTGATCTAAATACAAAGTACCAACCTTTGTTTCCTTGTAATGGTTTTTCATGAATACAATGCCAACCAACGGTATATATGATCTTTCAAATGATATAGCTGAATCAGAACAACATAATTTTAGCTGAAAAATTACCTTTAATTTGTAAAGTTCAACTCATATTTTCTCATCAAATGCCCTTTCTATTAAAATTGACTTTTAACCTTACCAAAATATTTTTGCGATGAGCATATATGTAATATTATTGTCCACAATTTGCAATCATGGTCTGAGCATTCCACAAATATATTTTTATGAAAATCGGTCAAACCAAACAAGAGTTATTAAATTAAACCATCCAGTTATCGGTTAAAATATTGCCATAACTGACATGACATGTTGCACCTTAAAGGGCCCCTGCACTGTAGTCACGCACGGTAGCTGATGACAACCGGCTTCAAATCAAAGCTAAATCATTCCCGATTGTGAAAAATCACATTCCGTTTGGTCGCCAGAACTGCGCCACATTTTCACCATTTTAGGGGTCTGGCTTCTAGACCATATAGATTGGTGTTGTTTTTAGCGCCTTTTATGTCATTCAAAAAAAGGTATAGTTGCTTTTGATGGAAACGGAATATCTTGTTTTTCTAGCCATGCTACCATATCACTTTTCCTGCTGTTGGATGTTGGTGTGATGATGATTTTTATGGAGAAGTATGTATGTTGCAGCCATGAAATAGTAGTGCTCTATAATAACCACAGGCTACGGGCTGTGAGGTCAATATCTTTTATTCCGTAGTGGGAGAAGTAGTAGGAGTGGACACTCTGTAACAGTCATAATTATACAATGTATATGTATATGCTAAAACCACATCCGATGAACATATGCCTTCATATATATGTATGTATAAACATCTCATAAATGCATGTCTTCATATATACACATCGGAATAACAAAGACTTAAGTAAACAATGTATCTGTCTTACATAATCCCACGCAGGTTATGGAAAAATGGCATATACTATTGTTACTATTACAAGTTACATTTCATGTGGCATATCATGAAACAGACTATAAAAACAGACAATGAAACCTACCCTGTGGGTGACACGGGAGTGTGCTCAAGCACCCAGCAGCCGGGCAGCCAACACGTGCAATAATCCTACATAAAATAGGATACACTGATGAGAGGTATTGTCCATAAGACAACACATAAAATAAAACCATTATACCAACATATATACATACTTGAAACTACCAGTATGGAGTTACAAAAACAAGATACAGAATTCATGAAACAGATCAATCTTACATCATATACAGCATTTGTAAAACAAGTACTACAAGCCGACATAAACATATAGCAAAACCAACCGTACGCACATTCATACAGGTAAAATAGCATACTGTGTAAATATTTACATTTGATTTATCTTGAACATACTTGTGCCTATGTTATACAATTATTTATATTAGGGTTTAATTAGCTGTGTATATATTACAAACAGTATAAATACTAACCTTAGATCAAAGCTCAATCTTTAAAACAGTCCTCATGTAGAGACAGTGTGGTGCAAAACTGATTAGTAACATGGCGGTGAGAAGTATATTTGAACTTACACCAATTAACTGAGAAGCTGAGCCTGGGCTATTGTTAAAACAACTAAAGACAATGACATAAAAGTAGATCGACCCAGATACCCTTAAATACACAATGAACCTTCCCTGTAACACAGAACTGAACAGTTAAGGCCAAGACAAGATGCAACTGGATTGACAACATATAACATATATATAATGTATATAGAAGTCGTCTGTCGGATCACCTGAAATAAGATTAAAATGAAAATGATTAATTATAAATGTATGTACACAATACACAATCCCTGGTTTTATCCCTGTTACATGTACAATGTGAATGACCCCCAAACTTTATGTACAAAATAAGTGTTCCCCTCCCCTTGTATGCATGTCATGTAGAAAATCAATGACCCCCTTCCCCTTCCCATAATGTGTAAGCATAATTTTAAACATATTTTTCATGAACAAAATTACTGTCCCCCTCAGTACCCCAAGCTCCGCAGAATAAAATGGGTGACACCCCAACTGGACATGCAGTGCGTTTAACAAATTTACATATTTAAGGTGACCCTTTTCACTTTCGCCTAAATAATCATAAACTTTGTAAATAATGGACTTGATGTCAGAGGTAAATTTCATTTTCTCATGTAACGCGTCAATACATCGATTTGCTATGCTTGATGTGACGTCTCAACTACACGTGCTTCACGCTCTTGAGGATGTTCCTCCAACAGTTAACTGTTACTTTACCCTCGTAAAATTTCACACAGAAAATCAAAACAAAATGATGATAGTCTGTTGAGTAACTTTATTAGTTTGGAGACAAACGTTATGAAACATATGTTTCCAGAGTTGGTCTGATGTTTTCATTACATTCTGCGCTGAAATGAATGTTTGACCATGAACCGATTTGGTGTTAGATTGTGATTCATCGGCATCATGCTGACCCAAACAGACTATAATCAACTTTTATCCTTAACACTGTGCTTACATTTAACATTTCACGGCATATTAATTAGTCTGACGTTTCTTGGGTCCATCATTTTGTCAGTGCATTCATTTAAAAGGAAAACAACACACACACACACAAACAAAAATAAATACCCCCAAACAAACAACAACAACAAAACAAAACAAAACACAAAACAAAACAAAAAACAAAACAACCCCAAAAACAAAACAATAAAAATTAACCAACCCCCACCCACCCATACCCCCACCCCACCCCACCCCCAAAAGCCCCAACCATAAACAAAAATAGAAACCCAAACAAAACAAACCCAAAACAAAACAAAACAAAACACACATCAACAACACCCCCAAAAACACAACAAACAAACAAACAAAAACAACAACAAAACAAAACAAAACAAAACAAAAAGAAAAACCTATCGGGATCGGGTGGTCAGGCTGCCCAGATCGATGGTCCAGCCTCGATTACTTGCAGACTTTCGCCATATAGCGGTAATATTGCTTAGGTCTCCACCAAAGTCGAATTTAACTGCCGAACCATATTTGTACGTTTTGATATAAACTGTATTCTTGACCAGCATGCTTTGTTTCATAACCATTTTCTCCACCCGCCAATGTGTGCAAGCCTGTCTACTCTCTGCTTGTCATTTGAATAAAACTTCCATCAACTACATGTGTCAACTGGTAATCTGGATTCCATGTCTGTACTAACGCCTTCGTATGATAAATATACTGAACATCATTGAAAACGCACCACCTGTAAATTCTGAAATATGGTAATAGGATTGTTTGGAGAGTGAAAATGAACGTTGGAAATGTTGTTAATAACACAAAGACAATAAATAATGCTGTACAGTAAAGGACGGATTACCCGAACACATCATGGAACACATCACATGACAACAACAAAATTCATGCACAACACACACGAAAGCACAAATTGCATGCGTAAAACATGCTGATTATGGGTATAAATGACCGTCGGCAAAGCCGCCGCTCTGATTTTAGCTGTACCTCCGCAAGTAAATTTTATTTTGCAATGCCAATAGGAACGAGAACGTGCGTTGGGCATGTTGCAGGTTGGCACATCAAGCAGGATTATTGCCAGACGATTTGGTTGCCATCATTCCACCATCATAAGACTTGCCAACAGGCACAAACAAACAGGAACCACCAGGGACCGCCAACGTCGTTACCACCCCTCGCCAAGATCGAGACATTGTTCGGCGCCATATTCGGGATCGTACGTTGCCGGCTGCCAGAACCGCCAACGCTGTCCAAGGTCGACGTGGTTTGATCATTGCGTCCACCGTCCAATGCCGTCTCCGTGCGGCAGGATTACGGTGTCGACGCCCTTATTTTGGACCCATCCTGACTGATAGACATCGCCGTGAACGCCGACGATGGGCTGAACAGCATCATTTGTGGTTGTTACGACGTTGGCATGGTGTTGTGTTCTCCGACGAGTCACGTTTTCACTTGCGAAATGATGACGGGCGTCTACCGGTATGGCGTCGACGGGGAGAACGTTACCATCAGGACTGTGTTGTGCAAACCAATCGGTGAGATGGAGGAAGCATTATGGTGTATGTGTGTTTTGTTTTTGGGGGGGGGGTTTGGGGGTGGGTGGGGTGGGGGGATCAGTAATCATCACAAAACCGCTCTGATTGTTTGTCGTGGCAGAGTGAATGCCATTTACTACCGTGACACCATTCTTCAGAACAACGCCGTTCCCTTCTTTAACCAACATCAAGATCTGCACACATTCCAGCAGGACAATGCTCGAGCGCACACTGCACGTGTTGCAACACAGTTTCTGGCAAACAACAACATTCCTCTACTTCCATGGCCTGCATTGTCACCAGATTTGTCTCCCATTGAACACTTGTGGATTACATCGGCCAACGCCTCTCACGTCACCCACAGATCAACAACCTTGAGGAACTTGAGAATGCCTTGCAACAAGAGTGGAATGCATTGCCTCAAAACATTATTCAGAGACTTGCACAGCTTGTGTTGCTGCTAACGGTTGTCATACATGTTACCAACTTTCCTAATTTGACTCCATCTTTCTTTCATGGTCCGCTGAATTAAAACTTCACTGTTTTGCTGGATTGGTTCTTGTTTCTTTTCTTTACCAATCATTGGACTACAAAAGTATGTAAAATTTACACCGATTGCTCATTTATGCTCTTGGAAATCCAAACTAATACAGGTGGTGCGTTTTCAATGATGTTCAGTATATTTCTTCACTGCATCTTTTAAAGGAATGCCCCAAATGGTTTATTCTGACTTGATCTCCGACTTTGGATATAAATGATTTCATTTTCCATATACATTTATTTCTTTTATTATTCTTTTATTACTTTTATTCAGGATATGTGGGGTCTGTGATTATAGTGTATGACGAAATCTTATAAAATATCCAAATACTGAGGTCTGGTTGTGACTGAAATATCGGTCCATGGTGGTCGTTAGAGTACATAGGACACCTCTGGAGGCTTTGCTTTCATTCTGTGTCACATTCATGTGGCAGCGTTAAGTTATGCCTTTACTTTCAAAAGAAGCTCTGACTTTCTCATTGTTCTTATTTACCCGTGATGATCCGGGTAGAATAGGTCTCCAGTAACCCTTGCTTCTCGTAAGAGGTGACTAACGGGATCGGGTGGTCAGGCTCGCTGACTTGGTTGACACGTGTCGTCATATCCCAACTGCGTAGAACGATGCTTTTTTCACTGAATTGTCATGTCCAAACTCGATTATTTGCAGACCACCATCATATAGCTGGAATATTGCTGAGTGCGGCGTTAAATATCAATAAATCATAATTCATTACTCTTTCACTCCTATATCTAATCTTAGAATAAGAGGTACAGTGTGGCATGTGAAAATATCACTTCATAGACCTAAGAACAGCATCTGGTGTTTATTCTCCAAAGACTCCAATCTTCGAAGCTGGACACTTCTTAAGACGAGTGTAAAATTTCGTAAATTAAACTGCGCTATTCTAATAATGACTGACTGACTGACTGACTGAGTTTAGTTTTACGCCGCTTTTAGCAACATTCCAGCAATATCACGGCGGGGGACACCACAAATGGGCTTAACACATGCAGCCCATGTGGGAATCGAACTCGGGTCTTCGGCGTGACGAGCCAACGCTTTAACCACTGGGCTACCCACCGCCCCTATTCTAATAATGAGAACTAAGTCTGTTCTATAGATACAAGTCGATACGAGTAACTGTTTGACAACTCCAACACGAACAGCGCAGCGCATGCCTAAAGACGGGCGTATTGATTAACAGTTTCCAAGAACTACTGACTTTACTGGAAAAATAAAATTCACCGAATCCCAGATCGAAAGCAGTGTGCTAGTATCAAAACAACAGTTACATTGTTAATTAAAACATTAAAATTGTGATAGTATAAAGTGATGTTGCAAGGAAATTACTTGTGCCTGAGTGCTGAATATTTAGCAACAGATTCTTCAATGTTTGTACTTCATGGAAAGTAATGCTATTTACCGAACATTTTTTCACAAGGGTTTCCATTGGCAATTGTACATTTTACTGAGAATGGCCGTAAACTGACATCAAAATGCTCTCTCTTTGCAATATGCGACAACAAGGTCTGACATGAGGCTTGATATATAAAAGGTTAAAGCACTTTCTCCTTCTTTCGACAAGCATGGTTAGAGCAGAGATGATCTAACACGACATTGCTCTCGGACTTTAAGGTGTGTCTGTGCGTGCGTTCGTGCATGCGTGTGTGTGTGGACACCGGAAATTGGCTTCACACATTGGAACCATGTGAGGAATCGAACCCGGAGCTTTCGGCGTGACGAGCGAACACTTTTAACCTTTAGGTTACCCTAACCTTACAAAATTCACAGCCACACTCAAGATAGATCAGATCAATGACATTCTAACTATTACAACTGCAGATTTGTGTTTGAGGTGCCGCACTATTTTTTCCTCATGACGTCAACATTCCACCGGCTTACATTTCATAATGACAAAGGGAATGGCATGAAACAAGGCATCTGAATCATATTAAACTGGAATGGATTAATGTATCTCAACCATTCTAGCTCATATATTGATCGTCGTATAGAGCATGTAGCTGTTAGAGCAGCCATCCAGGGACAACAAATGTTG